CTCTTACTGCGTTATCTAATACTGCTATGGGGTTTGTTTGATATGTTCTTCTTTGAGATTTGTTTCATCAGTAGAATTTATACTGGACTGATACATGCATAATACTAAGACGTGGTATTAAAGAAATTCAGTTAGATGAAGTTTTCATTTGACCCAATGTGAATCTGATTCTGGTGAGCATTTAACTGATATTTATATAGAATATTTTTATTATTAATATAAAATCAGTGTTGTTTAACTCAGAGTATAGTATTCTACAGATCTTTTTCTCTAGTTACAAACATTAGTAGCGTCAGCATAAATTAATAGTCATATAAAGTTTTAACAAAAACAAAAAAATTTTTTTTTAACAATTTCTATACATTCGAAAAAATAATATGCATATTTTTAAAGCGAAATATTATCTATGAATATATATAGCACTTTGTCAAGTAATTGATAATTATTTTTTATTTGATTGAATTAAAGTAACTTCGTCAAAATTGTTGACGAAGTTATAACTTAGTCGACCGGTGTAACTTCGATACGACATGTATATAAATAATTGAATGTTCTTTTGCTAATAAACCTGTATGAAAATGTTTTTTGGTGCCAACTAAGTTGTCCACGAACACTATATGCAATAGCTGTTACAAATTCACCACTGAGACCTTTTAATATAAAAAAATATTTACATTTTAGTATTTCTTTTGGTATTCAACTTACCTAATTCAGCTGCTAATACACGAGCAAATTCTTCTGGACTATTTTGTTTATCTGACATATCCCATTCAAATTGATCGACTAAACTTACATTACCAACTTGAATATTCAACTAAAATATTACAAAGAGAAATTTTCAAGATCAAATAAACGTTTTAATAGAAAGAGTAGAACTTGTAATTCAACTTGTTCTATTGATATACTTTATTATAAGTCAGAGGTGCATGTACAGAATGCAAACACAAAAAAAGCTCTATAATTTCATCTGATTTACATTAAACAAAATAAATCCAATAAAATATCTTCAAATTTAAAACAGAAAGCAGAGAATAATCCGAAAGTGAAGATGACGAATCTCAGTTTAAAGTAAAAATTCTCTACAACGAAACAATCTCATCTAGGATAGATAATCACGTCTGAATTTGAAAATTTCACATCATTTTTGGAATCAACTATTTCCTTGTATTATTTGGAAATAAACATACTATATCAGGTCGCTAACAAAGTAATCTTGTTCTTTCTTTTTTTCAATTCAATTTACTTTAATTATTACACGTTGATCACTATGTTCTCCCACAAAATCCTCATGATGAGCTTCAAGTTGTTGTCGTATAGCTTGTGCAATGGCTGGTACAAATACAATAGTATTTAAATCAAGATCATCACAAAGAATTTCAGCAAACATTTCTGGTGTAATCAATAGTTCTATATAAAACAAAAAAAAAAAAAAAATTAAAAAATAGCATTTTTGTTTTGGTTTATATTAATAAACCATTTTTATTCCATGTGAATGTATCTCGTAATTTTTGTCCTTCAATTTCCATATCCAGTCGAATAGGAACAAGATCTTCAGCTTGTTGAGCATTTTCAAGAGCAGCTGGTGTATCCATATGATCAAAACTATCACATAAACTATTAATAATCAATTAAACAACTTAATACAACATTTTATACCATAATGGAAAAGTTTTTTTCTTTGTTGCTGTTCGATTTCGATTAATAGGTGTAGCTGATGGTACAGTTTCAAGATTATGAGAATCTGTTGCAAATGTTGATGACCATGTTGATCGTTTCGATTTATCACTAAAATAAATAAAGAAAAAACGTATATTATTATATCAAATAAAATTTCTTACGATCGTGTTATAGCAAAATCTGTATTCATTGTTAATGCTCGATATTTTTCGTCGTGTCCAATTAATAATTCATCAACTTCACTTGCATGTAATAAAATTAAATTTGTTGGTAATGATGATTCCAAACAACCTTGACATAAATAAGAAAAAGAAAAAACCTATGAGAATAATTAAAAGAAAGAAAAACAAACATAAACTAACCAAGTTCAATTAACCATTTTCGTTCATCTGGTGTAACAACACGGCGCCACAAAGATGGATATTTTTTATATAGTGTTCCACGAAATAAGCGTAAATAATTACCTACCTGAAAAAAAAGGACGTGCAGAACAGAAATAAAAGCGTACACAAACACACACAAACGTAATTGAAGAATGTGGCGGTAGACTCTCTCTTCTCTCTCTTTTGTTTCTCTACAGTTGGCTGATCGTTTGACAAAATGTAAAAGAACGAAATGTGTATTTTAGAAATTTCTACTTACTTCTGATCCAATATACATTTTTTCTTGATTACCAGGAAATTGAAATGGAGTTGGGCGTTCACCGTAAGTTTTTATTAATGAATTTTTTGTAATGATTGATTTTTTAATTGTTGAATCCGGCTAGATGAAATCAAGGATCAATCGATATATGTGTCATACAAATATTTCATAATAAATACCTCGGACATATTAAAATATATGTTGATGAACGATGTCGAAAATTAATAAAGCTATAAATAAAAAAAAACATAACGATAAGAATGAAAATATACTAGAGCAAAACAACAACCTTGAAATAATAATTTAAATAAACATTGTTGGAATTATTCATAATTAGGATAAAGACATGTTTATAATCATAAATAAGCAAATGAGTCTATTTAGATCGGAGCAATCAGCTAAGTTACGTTTAAAGTATATTCCAGATTCCAAAGAAAAAATCTAGCAGTAGGTGATTCGATTGGTCATAATTTTATGATCTATAAGAAACATCATATAATAGATGGCGTTGTATAGCCTTGTTTTTTTGAGATTTAATTCATAGCAGGGCTGGCAACAGGCTAATATAAAAGAAAATATGTGATATTTATAGTAACAGACAAGGATATTTACGTCTAACAATCAATTTTCAGGACAGCACGAACGCAAAGTTTATTATCGAATTGTTTTGGATTTAGATAAGTTCTTCTGTCAGTTAATGTAAGTCCTACAACACTACATTGACGTTCACTTCAAGCGTTTGTTGCTGGAATCGGATGAATTGGTAAAAGTACTCTTGAGTAATAAGATGATGCGTCAACATTTGATTTCCAAAACGTAAGAGTCAAGCCAACAACTTTAACCTGGCCTATTAACCAAACCGAATTAGTGTCCTGTAACCCAGTTGGGTGCTCGAGATCCGATCCAATCCGGAGCATGGATCCAGGTGCAAACTCACTGGGTCTGGCCGGGTACCGACTATAAAAAAAATTGTCGGATTAGATCCGGATTTGAGATTATAACTGACACTTGACTCGGCAATATATAAAATTTTGACGTTTCAAAATATTTTTACCATTTCAAAATGCTATATACAGGGTGTCCCAAAAGTCATTTAACAAAATGTTTTTCGTATAACTTAATTATTTGATTTAGCTTTATCAACTAACTTTTTTAAATGATAGGTGGATATACCGGGTTTTTATTTATACGAACAAACCTCAAAAGTATTGTTCAAAGCTATCGTTTTCATATGAAACACAAAAATTTAGCGTATTTTCTATTTCCAGAAATACTCATGAATGATGTCTGGATTTATTTGCTCGAATTTTAACTTGATACTATTCAATTCGTTTCTGCGATGACATATCAAAATAAAATTCTACGAAAAGACTGCACAAAAACTGGAGAATTTAAAGATCCGCCTACCTCAATAACCTGAACTAATAAAAAAAAATGTTGCGTAATATTTTTCTGAAAATAGAAAACAGGTTAAACTTTTGTATTTCAGCTAGAAACCATAACTTTGGATAGCATTTTTGAAGTTTGTTCATATAAATAAAAATTCGGTGTATTCACCTATCATTTAAAAAAAA